GATGCATTAGATGCGGTGCCGTGACGAGGAGTCGGGTCACCTCTTGGGTATGAACGAATCCTTCTTGATAATCTTCAATCTGGATCATGTTGACGAAGTCGCTGGCGGCTTCGGTGAGGTCGGTGCATAAGACATGATCCAAGCGTTGCGGTGTGTCGTAGCGAATTGGCCGAGGTAGCGTTTTGCGGCCGTGAAATTTGATCTCGTAGTTCTCCGTCGAGGCTTCAGACTCGGAGAGCCGGAGACCCGTCCGCGAAGGTCGCCGGCGAGATCTGTACCAAGTCATGCAGACGGTCGATTCGAATCTGGTCGGGTAGATCTGTTGTGGGGAGCGGTTACCGCTCATTAGGTGACTTTGAATCGTACTTACGAGCCGTGGTTTCAATGAGCTTGGTGCCGACCCGATCGATGGAGTCGAAAGTGGTCGGTGTTGTCGATCCGCCTCCCTTGTAGCGGGAAGCGGATGACAAGTTGTCGGCGTGGTGAGGTGATGCAGGCGTGGTGGAGCCGATGTGTACCGTGGTTGGAGCCAGATCCATCGTGGTCGGAGCCGTATCCATCGTGGTCGGAGCCGTGTCCACCGTTGTCGGAGCCGTATCCATCGTGGTCGGAGCCGTGTCCACCGTGGTCGGAACCGTATCCACTATGGTCGGAGCCGTAGCCGATGTAGGTGAAGCGATGGTTTAACACGATCGAATCCACGCCTCCGGGATCATGGCGATGAAGTCGTCGGGCCGGTGGTCCAGTGATCCGCCAACGGCGGTGAGCGTGAGGCCGTTCGGCGTAGCCATGGAGCCGGAGATGATGACCGTCTTGTTTGCTTGGGAAGCAGTACGCACACCCCGTACCTGGCGCGTCACTGTCGACGAAATATGGTCGGCAGTCTACCTAGGGATATATCCAAGGTAGTAGATTATCGACAGACAGATGCGCAAGCTACAAACAAGACGGTGACGCAAGACAGACACAAGGTTTTATTCAGGTTCGACCGCCAAGAAGACGTAATACCTACGTCCTGCGTCTGATTTGTATTGTTGTATGTCAATGAGAGATGATTTTTAGAGGGGTCTCCTGCCCGCCTTATATAGCTCGGGGGGCAGGGTTACAGATCTGGAAACTAATCCTAGCCAGTTATAATTGTCATATGTGGCCGGATAAGGATTCCTATTCTAACCGACCAGGATCTTGATTGATCGCCAAATCCGCCTTGACTCCTTGCGCGGGACTCCGATCAGGTTAACCGAGCCGCACGTCGTCTTTTGGTGGACCGAACCCATCGATCCGGGCCGGCCCAAGCTTAGCCATAAGGGTATAGGGGTTAATACCCCCACAACGCGTGTTTAGTTTCAACCTCAAATTCCCAAAAAATGCTACAGTACCCATCACATCGAATCTTGCAATACGTGCATAGAGCATTAAATATAGACAAAAAAACCTAATTGCGCAGTTTGGTTGGAAATTACGAGATGAACATTTTAAGCCTAATTAATCCATAATGGAATACTAATTACCAAATAAAAACAAAATGCTACAGTAGCCCAGCCACCTATATTCACCCAACTAAACACGCGCTCAGATTCGTTTCGCCGGTTGCCATATCCCAGCCGCTGCCGGCAGAGACAAGAATCCACATACAGCTTTGTGCACGGTACGAAAGCGCTCTGCAGTAGGTTCGCCGGAGCACGTGTGCGGCCCATGTCATCTGCAGCCGCTTAGAGAAAAGAGAAACGAGGAAAAGAAAAATGCGAGCCATACCACGCTTTGCTGCAGCCTACACCTCCGTGCTATTGAAAGAGTTGTTTTTTTATTTTTAGACTTCTTTATTGACTGTTTGTTTTATTTAAATTTTTAATATAAATATTATTTATTTTATTATAACTTATTTTATCATTAAAGATATTTTAATAATAATTTATTTATTTTATTATTTTTTATATAAAATTTTGAATAAAACTAACGGTCAACGAAGATTAAAAATAAAAAACGACAGGAGTACGGCTGCTGTTCTGTGCCGTGCCGTGCCATGCCGTGTCCTCGGGGCTCGAGCTCTGGCCTCCCACGTGCCTCTGTCTGCTGACCGCCGCGGCCCACGGCTGCTCGCACTGCGCGTATCCGCATGCCCTCTCCCTCGCCAGAGTCCAGTCAGTCACGGGCACGCGGCTCTGAGAAGTGGCGGGCTCGCCCACTCCGATCTGACGCAACGCGAGTACGTACGCGGCCCAACAAAGCCGCCGCCCCAGGAAAGAGCACCGAAAGGGAGGTCGCCATCGCCATGGTCCCCGGCGTACGACGCCCGACGGCCGGCGCCAGTACTACCGATGCGGCACTGCGTCCGGCCACCCGTGTTCACACGGCCAGACGCCCACACCACACGGGTGGACGGTATTTACTGCCGCCGACACGGGTAGCGTACGACGGTGCGTCGGTACGAATGAATGAATACGCTGTCACTGCCGTGAAGCATTCCAGGCAGGAGACGGCCCGGGCCGGTGGGCTTTCAGCAGGGCACGCCAGTGCAAGTGTGCAGCTGGCAAAGAGCCTGTTCGCTGGTTGGTTTCAGTCAGCCCAAACCAGTCAGGCAACAGTATTTTTCTCTCACAAAAAACCAGCACCAACCAGCCCAAAGCAGCACCAGCACCAACCAGCGAATAGACCCAAAGCGGCAATGTTGCAAGCGACTAGTGCAAAGTTGACGACCTGAAGACCCGCTGAAAGTTGAAAACGCATTGGATCTCGTCTTAGCTTAGGGTATATTTGGTTGGATGGATATTATGAATAGAGATAGTCGTCCATGGACGGGTGGTGCTTGGTTTGATGGATTGGCTGGATATGGATATCCAATGCAGAGAATATTCCTACTAGATGTTGTATTCAGTTGCCACCAAAAAAAAACTACGTGGATAAGCTTATCCATGTTTTCTAATATTTATCATTAGCAAACAAATAAATGTTAATTAGTAATTATAATCACAAGACTAGTTTTGATAGTGCTAATATGTTGATTAGCGCACATTTTGTGCGTCAATTAGGGTAGTAGTAGTAGTGCTAATTAACATATTTTATTTTTAATTATTGATTATCATGATAAAATAGTGTTAGTGTATAATTAGTTGTTGTTACTTTAAATAATATATATAGTTAGTTAATTATTCTCATCTCATTCACTGTCATCCATCCAATCAAATAGAATAATGGCGTGCCCTATCCATCTAACCAAACAAGCAACATGGATATCCATATCCCAAAATATATGGGTGATCATATCTCGTCCGCCCTTGTCTTCAAACAAAACCCACCCTTAGCCATCCGACTTCTGTGGCGATGAAGGCTAGGATGGCATCAAGATCGAAAACAAGTCTGCATCAACGGCTAAAAATAATTACATGATGGTACTATGGGTCTGTCTAAAGCCTAAAATTTAATAATAAAAATACGAGTAAGCCATTTTTTAATAGTAAAGGTCATACATACATATATATATATATATATATATATATATATATATATATATATATATATATATATATATATATATATATATATATCCAACTAACTATTAATTGTGTTAGCTAGGAGAACAAGCTAATAATTAATTTATTAGCTGGGTGGTAGTTAAAGTATTAACTTAACTTAGTTGAGGATCCAAATTTTTCGCAGCTAAGTTTTGTAGAGATCCAAACAGGTCCAATGTTTTAGCAGTTAACATTTTAGTAGCTACTAATTTGCTACTTAAGTTCACCAATATCTCACATTCAACTGGCCAAATTTTGGCAAACATTTTTGCCTAATTTGACAAGGCACACTTTGGCTTTGGTAATAAACCAAGCATAAGCAATTTCGGTGGCAGATCAATGAGCACAAAAGATTCGACGGCTTTCCCCCGAACCCGCTGCTGCTGCAACGGTCGAATCTCGCTCCTCCGCGCCTGATGTGTTACGGCTACTTCGGGCCCACTCCACCGTAGCCCAATTGACAGGCGGCCCACCCAGCCAAGAGCCTCGGGCCTACGACTACGAGCCAGCCGCCTTTCTTTCTCCGTTCCACACCGCACCCGAAAATCGCCGGTTACTTCCGGCGAACCACGCACGCACGTTACAGGTGTGTGTGAACTGTGGAGTGTGAACCGTCACGCGGCGAAGCAAAGCACGACGCCTTTCGCTCGCTTTCGTCCAAGGCCGTGTTCGTCCGCGTCGATCTGGACGAGCAGTTGCCCATGCAATCGTGGAACTCGCCGTCCGTTACGCAACAACCGAACATGGGTTTCGGCGAGAGGAATTGTTGTTTTCTAGCAGTAGTTCGCTTGGACGCTTGCGGCCACGGGCAGCCAAGCCATGCCGTCATCCAAGCCGGTGCCGACCCACTGTCTGGCTCGTCGACGTCCAACAGCGGCAGCATCATCACGAGACATCATCTTGTTTTATCTAATCTAAAGCTATCGTTATCTAATCTAAAGCTATCGTTATCTATCTGAAAAGCTTCAAGAAATCATTCTCTGTGCCTTTAGAGATAGCTTGGGCAGAAACCCGGAGGCCGTGACGGAGGTGAACAAGTTAATCGCGGTCGCAGACATCAGTTTCTACCTGGTCCTCAGGCTCATGGGCCGGGTCGCAGGGGAAGTTAACAACTGCGACACGATCGATGTGCAACCGCTCTTGACCACTGAATACTTTCACGGATTGCGAGCAGCATCTTTGGCTCCTGGAACGGTCATGTGGTGGTGATGCCAAAAACCAAAAGTTAAAAGCGGCCAGCCATGTGCAGTGCGGCCACTCTCGCTCTCTCTCTTCCCCATCCGTCTCCTCCCTCACGCCTTCCCGTCCGATAGCTACCGCTGTAGCATCGGTCCATCTGGTCCCTTTGTCCGGTTGCAATCATTCGAGACCCCGTTCTTGATTCTATAAATCCACTGTCCCGATCTACCTCAGTCTCACTTCCTCTGCCAAGAATCGCCACTCCGTTACCTTCACTCGCTCACTCACAATGCAGCGCCATGGCGAGGTATGCATGATCTTTGCTGTGGCCGCCGCCGCTCTCTTGGCGGCGGCGGCGGCGGCCCAGGCGCGGCTGGTCGGGAGGATCGGCAGACCTACATCGTCCACATGTCCCATTCCGCCATGCCGAGTGATTTCGTGGAGCATGAGGAATGGTACGCCGCGTCGCTTCAGGCGGTGTCGGATGCCGCCACCGTGCTGTACACCTACAACACCCTCCTCCACGGCTACTCGGCGCGGCTGACGCGCGCGGAGGCCGCGGCGCTGGAGTCGCAGCCCGGCGTGCTCGTCGTCAACCCGGAGGTGCGGTACGAGCTGCACACCACCCGGACGTGGGAGTTCCTGGGTCTGGACGGCACGGACGCGCTGTTCCCGCAGTCGGGCACCGGGACCGACGTCATCGTCGGGGTGCTCGACACCGGCGTGTGGCCGGAGAGGCCGAGCTACGACGACACGGGCTTCGGCCCCGTGCCGGCGGCCTGGAAGGGCAAGTGCGAGGACGGCAACGACTTCAACGCCTCCGCGTGCAACAAGAAGCTCATCGGCGCGAGGTTCTTCCTGACGGGCTACGAGGCGGCCAAGGGTCCCGTGGACACGTCCAAGGAATCCCGGTCGCCGAGGGACAACGACGGCCACGGGACGCATACGTCGAGCACCGCGGCGGGCGGCGCCGTCCAGGGCGCGGACCTGCTCGGCTACGCCGCCGGCACAGCCAAGGGCATGGCGCCCCGCGCTCGCGTCGCGACGTACAAGGTGTGCTGGGTCGGCGGGTGTTTCAGCTCCGACATCCTCAAGGCCATGGAGGTCGCGGTGACGGACGGCGTCGACGTGCTCTCCCTCTCCCTCGGCGGCGGCACGGCGGAGTACTACCGTGACAGCATCGCGGTGGGCGCTTTCAGCGCCATGGAGAAGGAATCTTCGTGTCCTGCTCCGCTGGCAATGCCGGTCCGGGCGCCGCGACGCTGTCGAACGGGGCGCCGTGGATCACCACCGTGGGCGCTGGGACCATCGATCGCGACTTCCCCGCCTACGTCATGCTCGGCAACGGCAAGAACTATACGGGCGTGTCCCTCTACAGCGGCAAGCCGCTGCCTACCACGACGGTGCCTTTCATCTACGCGGGGAACGCGTCCAACAGCAGCATGGGCCAGCTCTGCATGTCCGGCAGCCTGATCCCAGAGAAGGTGGCCGGCAAGATCGTGCTCTGCGACCGCGGCACCAACACCAGGGTCCAGAAGGGCTTCGTCGTCAAAGACGCCGGCGGCGCTGGCATGGTTCTCGCCAACACCGCCGCCAACGGCGAGGAGCTCGTCGCTGACGCGCACATTCTGCCAGGCTCCGGCGTGGGTGAGAAAGCCGGCAACGCCATGAGGGACTACGCCATGTCGGATCCGAAGGCGACGGCCACCATTGTGTTCGCCGGCACGAAGGTTGGCATCAAGCCGTCTCCCGTCGTTGCGGCCTTCTCCTCCAGGGGCCCCAACACTGTGACGGCGAGCATCCTGAAGCCGGACATCATCGCGCCCGGCGTGAACATTCTGGCGGCGTGGTCCGGGTCCGTCGGCCCCTCGGGTCTCCCCGGCGACAGCCGCCGCGTGGGCTTCAACATCATCTCCGGCACGTCCATGTCATGCCCGCACGTGAGCGGGCTTGCGGCGCTGCTCCGCGCGGCGCACCCGGAGTGGAGCCCGGCAGCCATCCGGTCGGCGCTGATGACGACGGCGTACAACGAGTACCCCGGCGGCAACGGCATCCTGGACGTGGCCACTGGCCGGCCGGCCACGCCGCTGGACGTGGGCGCCGGCCACGTCGACCCGGCGAAGGCCGTCGACCCGGGGCTGGTCTACGACATCACAGCGGCGGACTACGTCGACTTCCTCTGCGCCAACAACTACGAGCCGGCGCAGATCGCGGCGCTCACCAGGCAGCACCCGTCCGAGGGGTGCAGCGCCAACCGCACGTACACGGTGACCGCGCTCAACTACCCGTCCTTCTCCGTGGCGTTCCCGGCCGCGGGCGGCACGGTGAAGCACACCCGCACGGTGACCAACGTCGGGCAGCCTGGGACGTACAAGGTGACCGCCAGCGCCGCCGCCGCCGGCAGCACCCCGGTGACGGTGTCCGTGGAGCCGTCGACGCTGAGCTTCAGCAAGGCCGGCGAGAAGCAGAGCTACACGGTGAGCTTCACGGCGGGCGGGATGCCGTCGGGCACCAACGGGTTCGGCCGGCTCGTCTGGTCCAGCGACCACCACGTGGTCGCCAGCCCGATCGCGGCGACATGGACCTAATAGCTAGCGGGCGTAGCAATGGCATCCGATTGGGGATGGCTCTCGAATGCAAGAGACGTGTAAGCTGCCGGTGTAATGTAATCTGTAACTGACCCGATTGTGGTGATGCAGCAATTAATCTCAAAGGGTTGCAGTCTTGCAGACTTTCAGTGTGTGTATGATCATGAAAATGAGCACTTCTACGTGACCCGAATTTGAAGGAGAATAATCATGAATGTCTCCGGCGTTTTGTTTTGTCATAAGTTTGTCAACGTTTGGGTATTTGGGCCGTGCAGCGCATCCTACAGAACATGCTGCTCTGCTCCTAACCCACAGCAGCATGTTTCCTGTTGCAAGGCTCATGTTTTTATCCCCTCCCAGGCCTTTTTAGATTGCAAATTTTTACAATCTGGATATTGTAGCATGTTTCGTTTGTATTTGACAAACTTTGTCCGATCATGGACTAATAAGGCTCAAAAGATTTGTCTCGTGATTTGTAACCAAACTGTGCAATTAGTTTTTTTTACCTACATTTAATGTTCCATATATGCGTCCAAAAATTGATGTGATGGAGAGAGAGTGAAAAAACTTGAATTTGGAGATGATCTAAGCACGTGTTTAGTTTGAACCCAAAATCCCAAAAAATACTACAGTACCCATCATATTTACTAAATAAAAACAAAAGTGCTACAGTAGCCCAATATCCCAACCTCATGCAACTAAACACGCGCTAAACAAGGCCCAAGTTGAGGAATCTGAGAATAGTATACTACGCTTGCTGACAGTGGTCGGTCTTGAAGGCCAGGACATGGCACTTTTCGATCCTCAACAAGTCAACATCATCAAAAAGGGGCCACGGCCATTGATGGGAAATCCGCTGCCGCTTCCTCGCTGGATTACGCCACCCGGACAAGTACTGTACTCGCTGAGGTGTGCTGTGCTGCAACCATGCGCGCGCTGGCGTTGGCTGCTCGCTTTCTACCACCCACATGCCCGTCCCGCTGCAGCCTAGCCTGCTCACATGCGTGTCTCCGTACCGTGGTCACAGGCGCGGATATAACGAGCTGGTAATGGATCACGGACGCCACAGGGGGGGGTCGTAGATATTTCATCGCGTTTCGCCTTCCAAACGCGTGACCGCTGCCTGCATGGGATACTGCCGACTGGTCTCTTCGTTCTCGTTTTCATCACGGCCGCCGCCGCGGAAGTGGGCATGGGATCGGCGTGATCCACGGTCGTGTCGCGTGGTACGCCGTACTGATGGTGGCGTGATCCATCGGTGGCCACCTCTGAGGCTCTGACACGGCCACGGAGATCAGTCTAAGGGCAGTGTAAGGGTACGCTTGATCCATTAGCGTTAATTTAAATTAGTTAGTCAATAGCTAGTAGCTGCTAAATTCTAGATAGCTAATTTTTAACAAAGATTGTTTATATCCATCTGCTAATAGGTGGTTGTACAGTGAGTTGAAAGTAAATATGAACTATTAGTAACTCCAAACCTGCTAATGAAATTAATTGTTAGCAGTACTTTGGCTAATAATTAGCAGGTCTGTTTGGGTCAACTAATACTAATTTTAGCTGCTAATTTTTAGTGTTAATGGATCAAATAAGCCCTAAGAATCAAGCTGGTAAAGCACTGTTATTCCATTCAACCTAGTCGGTTGCGCTTACTGTGGTGTTCCCTCTATCTTAAAATAAATCAACTTCTAAAGTTGTCATAAGTCAAATTTCTATGTCTATCTTAAAATAAATCAACTTCTAAAATAAATCAACTTCTATTTGGTGTCATAAGTATTACTCTTCACTATGAAGTTGGTTAGACCCAAAGATAGTTTAACATAGGGTGGTTTAGGAGTTAATTTACTTTGGGTCGGAGGAAGTACATGTCTAACTCGTGTTGTTCAGGTTCCTAAGAAATTGTTTGCCATATACTCCCTCGGTCCCATTAAAATATAATTCTTGTTTTTCAAGAGATCAAACAATTTTAACTTCCAATTACATCTATAAAAAGCACTAAGATTTATTATAGATACACTAGTATCATTAGATTAATTATAAAATATATTTTCATAACAAATCTATTGAGATATATAAAAATACGATAATGCTCATGCTCAGGCATCTATCCGTCCGGACCCGAAAAAAATCAAATATCTCCACTCTGCGCTTGTCTCCCCGCTCCACACTCGTCCGTGTGGCTGTCCGCCTGCCCTGCTCTGCTGTGCCGCCGCCGTCATCCCCCGCGGCGCACCCCATCCCCCCGGCGCCTCTGTCCTTCACCGCGCCCAGGCCAGGCGGCCAAGAGAGGGGGCCATCGCTGGAAGGGCCCAGGCCAGGCGCAGGCGTAGCTAGCTGTTGCCAGGCCGCGCCACCATCCTTGGCCAACGGCTGGTCGGAACCTGCCGTTCTCCCGCTCTGCGCTGCTTCGTACGGAAGAAGGGTGAAAAACGTACGTTGCAAGCCTTATGTTTTAAGTGTTTCAGATGTTTTATAGATATATTGCAAATGTTTCATATGGATATTGCAAAAGTAGATCGGGATGTTGCATACGTTACTATGGCTGTACACGTAAGTTGCAAGCTTATGTTTCCCAACGTTTCATCTGTTTTTCTATAGATGTTGCATATATCTCACACGTATGTTACAAGTGTTTTATCTAGATATTTGCGTATGTTTTACAATAGTTTTTCATGTATTTTCGGGTGTTTTTGTAAGTTTTTCAGATGCATGTTTCAAATGTTTCATCTTCTTCGTATGTATGTTGTAAGTGTTGTATCTAGATGTTTCAAAAGTAAGTTGGGTATTGCACATGTTGCAATGGCGTCAGTAGCTGACGAACAACGGGCTTCCATGTAACACCTCTAGTGTTATGAGCTTGCTTAGCACCTAGGTTAAGGTCAACGAAAAACAATTTATATAAACAAAAATAAAATATACCTTGTGTGCAGTACTTAAGTAAAGATGATGAGCAAGTGGTGTAGTTGAAAATGCAACTTTAATTTTTGAAAACAAATGTTGTTAACTAGTGTTCTTGAGAGCTCAAAAATTGAATCTGAAACTAAAAATCAGCATTTTCGTTGAATAGGCAAGAATTTGAACTTATGTTTAAAATACCATTTTTGGTGAATTGTATTGAACAAATAGTTAAATAGTGCTTAAATATTTTGTTCTTATGGTTTAGTATAAAGTATGGACTATTGCATGAAGTACTTGTTGGTTGAAGTTAATCAAGATTAGGCCTTTTAAAATTGTGGCAAAAGTGTTCAGGGTTGTTAAGTTCAAACTGAACTCTTGTCTTTTCTAAGTCTGAAAGAGTAGTAGACAATGCCATTTTGACGTTTAAATTCTAACTAAAATGTTTAAACACTAGCTTCAGATTCTTGTATTATTGGTTGCATCTAAGTAAGCTCTTATGCATGGGGTAGGTCGTAGTTGCGTTGGGTGTCGCGTTGCTCTCTTAAAAATTCCCCAAACTTCGTTGGAATATGCTGTAACCATGTTGTTGACGCTCTGTTCGTGAACCGGCCTTCGGCGCGACGAACCTATCTTGGCGTCTCTCCAACTTCCTCTCTGGTCATCCTCTGGTGGTAGGATTTGCTTCGTTAGCTAGCTGTTAGTGCTGATTTTGGGTTCGTAGACTTGGTTGAACTTTCGTTGAATTAGTAAGTAGATTTCAGTCTGCTTTGAAAAGCGTGTGTGATGTCGTTCCCAGTCTCTCGGCCTGAGCCCCGTAGTCACCACGCGAGCACGCCACCGCTGCTCCGCTGGCCGACCTCCTTGGCTGCCAGTCGTACGTCGGGCTGTGTCGACCCCAGCCGTCTTCCGTGGATCCGGGCGGTGCTGCGGTGCTGCTGCTGCGTGGCTGCCACATGCGCGCTGTCGGCCAGGGCGTGCATGGGCTAAGACGCCACGGCAGTCGTCGTCTGATCATTGTGGCACCCGTCTCGCCACTCGTTCTACCTACCCGCCGAGTCACCACTTGTCTCGGCTGCCTCGTAGAGCTACCATCTCACCACCGTTGCCCTACCACCCACGCGCCATTGTCGCCTTGGCACGCTTTGCTTGTCCTGTTTCCATCCTTATCCCCTCACTAACCGACGAGCCTCTATTACGCTCACACGGCCATGTCCCCATGCGGCTGTGCCCTCGTCATGTCTTGGCCGGTCCGCGTTAAGTCGAGGCCGTGGGCCACGACGTAGCAGCGGTAGCGCACCATCCCCTTCTAAATCCCTAGCTTGGGCTCCTAGTCCAATCACTCGTGCCGTAAAGTAGTATAAGAAGTGAATTAGGCATGCCCTCCTCCTCAAGCCCGCCCGAGCACTACCGACCGGAAATTGGGCGTTTTGCTCGCCGTCGGCCATGGGCGCCGCCATGACCAGTGGATTGGGGGTAAGTCCCAATCTTAGGGTGACGATTCAATTGATGGCATTTCGGGGCTCGGGTTGACCCTCTCGTATCGGTGCTCGCCTTATTTTAGGCAAAATCTTCATCGACGATGAGGTGATGCGTCGATGTCCGTCTTGGAGCACCGCCGCCCCACCGGCTCGTACGTGGCCAGCTCTGCTTGGGCCATCCTTGATGAAATCACCGCATCGACCATGATCCCTGTAAGCTACTGCTGCCCATTCACCCACCCTTTAGTCCGTTAGCCGCGCTAGATCACTGGAACGACCTCACCACCATTGCAAAACGCGTTGCCCCAACCACCACCATGGTTGGCTGGGCTAAGATACCCCTCAGAGTCCCCAACCATCTCCTAGCGTAGCCGTGGGAACCCTAGGTGGAGGTCGGCTTCTTTGTGGAGTCATCAGGGGCTCCCGGTGCCGACGTTGTCGTCGCGTGCTAGTAGGCGTCGCGCCGTCGTGCGTTGGGCCGCTAGGGGCACACGCGCTCGAATTGGGATAAACCCAGGGGGTTAAGCGCGAATGTCAGAGAGAGGTATAAATAGGGTTTGAACTTCGGGTGGATTTACTAGAAATACAGGGTCTCTTTCGCATAAACGCCACACGCGCGGAGCGCTT